CATTAATAATAATTTATTATCTTTCATTATATTATGATTAATAATATTTCAGAATCTTCCACACAGTTATGTTCAGTTTCAACCAAGGAGCAAATATCATAGTTAAAAATCACACTTTAAAAATTGCAAACAAGCTCCTGTTTTGAAACTTTTATTTAGTGCTTGACTAGACAGATTGAAGCCGTATATTTTAAATATTTGGAAAGAAATGTATGTGAGCGTTTTGGGAGGTTAAGGAGATTCATAATCAAACCAGTGGAAGCACTTTCTGTACACTGCATATTCAAGCCTATCTATCACGTGATTCTCAACACCATTTTGGTCAAAGCGCTTTAGTTGCTGAGTGAGCCACAATTGCGCCACCTGGTGGACTTTATGCCACTTGTCAACTCGTGTCACTTTCATGCTGTTTTTCTTTAGGTGAAAGTGAGTTTCATAAACTGGCAGTATGAGGCCAGTATGAACAGACAGGCACTTTCAACTTCTACCTCATTGTCCCCACAGTGCTGGCTTGATTCATTTATTTTTTTCCCTTTTACCCACATGAAACATAGACTGACTTTCGATAGTGATCACAGGATTGAGCAGGCTGTGTACCTGTGGCTAAGGGAGCAAGTGAAAATGATTGTTGTGTTAGGACTGTATCAAGAAACTTGTGAGAGGTTGGAAAAGTATTCCACCTGCACATTTGAACAATTGAATTGAAACCCATTAAAAACAATGGGAGATATTCTTTTGTCAAAACAAATGTTTTGTGGGGTATAATATTTTAATAGCTGAATGAAAAGTAGTATCATACAGTGAAGTCACAGATGAAGAATGATAATGCTTACATATGTGTAATTGCAAATTGCAAAGTATCTCTATAAGTTCTTAAGGATCTTAAGAAGAAGGATTGGACCATAATGAACAGCTACCTGTATGCAACCAAGAACCAAGGCCATTATCTGTTTATCTTGCATAGCAATAGTTGTTACAGTCCTCTAGAAACTGAGGCCTTTTAGATGGCATATTCATAATAACACATGTAAATTTAAAAATTCTTTAGTTTAATTTCTAACTGAAGATTCTTCTATTGTAGGAGCTTGTGAAAGTCCACAAAATCCTAGTGCAGGAAATACAAGACTCCATCACCAACAAAAATGCTCAAAATCTGTACCTTATTTTCCAAAACAACAAAGAAAGGTAAATAATAGTTTGTTTTTCAAGACAGCGCCATCATTTTACCCTTGGTAATATACTGTAGCCTTATGATATAATATACCTTTTAATGATGTTGTACATATAGACACAGTGAAAGCTGGATTATGCAATATAAAAAGTATATTATTATGACATTGAAAATTAGAGCTCTTGTAACTTGTCATAAGAAGAGGTTAGCACAGATGAGGAACTCTTAAACACTATTGAAGACTGTTAAATATATTAATCACCATCACATTAAGAAACAAACTGTTTATTCACAACACAGACAAAACCTGCAACTTGTACTTTCTTTACTATAGTGACCTCTCTGGGTAACTTTAATTACTGCTTCAGTGTTTTGTGATTATCCACTGAGTGTATTTTGTTAAGTAGTCATAGGTTAAAATTGATCATTTAGGTTGCTAATTTACGGGAAGTATTGCAGTCATGTGGAAACGGCCATAGCAGTCTTGGATGATATCTGCAAAGAGAAAGAGGATGTTCGGTTGAAGTTAGAGGTGAGACTCTAACAGTTTATTCTAATCTTCCTTAGGCTTATGACAAGCATACTGCTGTACAAAAGACTATTCTTCTCACTCAGCTATTCACTTCTTTATGCAGAAGCACAATTCTGTGACGGTCCTCTATTGAACTTTTAGCCATTTTTGTTTCATGCTAACAATAAGTCTTAATCAGTTTATGTTTTACAGTGTGAGAACAGAGAAATGCATTATGTTAATGATAAGGAACATCTGATAATGATGTATTAATATTTGATTAAATCCGGTTTTAAAAAAAGGCTAAATGTGTTGTATTTCTGTTTTAATTGTGGACTACTGGTACCCTCTTGTGGTCAAATTGAGACATTATAGTTACTGCGACTGGTCTTTCAGCAGAATGCTGTGAGGCCTTTTCTGTTTCGTTTTTTTTTAAAAATATTTACAGTAAGATTTAATTTTCTACAATATGGAGAACTGTCAAGCACATTTTGTTCCTTTTAGGAATGCTCCAAGAGAGCAAATAATGGGAAATTTACTTTAAGAGATCTTCTAGTTGTCCCGATGCAGAGAGTTCTGAAATATCATCTGCTATTGCAGGTAAGCAGTTTGTAACTGAATTATTGCATAGTGTTCATGACTGAATAAAGATATTGCTTCTTTATGCAAAACAAGGACAATATTGTGGAGTAGTGTTTAATAGGCTAGTAAGCACCGCTTACCCTAGTAAGATTGACTCATTATAAGAATGATCTTCCAGCAAAGAAATTACATTTCTTTTTAATTGTAAAAAAGTGTAAAAAATGTATATATATATAGTGCCATCAAAACCATCCACTCAATCCATATTGTTGTTCCATCCTTCCATCCATTTTCTAATCGCTTCTTCCAAACCATGGTTGCAGGCCAACTGGAGCCTATTCTAGCAAGCAGTGGGTGCATGGCACCCTGGGCCAGATACCAGTCCATTCACATGGCACACACACAGACACACCCACTCACGCCACCAGCCAGTTTGCCCAAAAGCCAATTAACCTCCCTGTATGTTTTTGGGCTGTGAGAGGAAACCTGATCACCCAGAGGAAACCTACTGTATGTGAACACGGATAGAATATAGAAACTCTACGCCTGTGCCTGAAATAGAATTCAGGGCCCTAGGGCTGCAAGGCAGCAGTGCTAACTACTGCACCTCTGAGCCACCTCCATTTTGTTATTCCTTCATTTAAATTATTTTCTGTCTGTTAATAAGAAATTGAATGCAAGTGATATTGATTTTAACTGTTGCTTTAAAACAGTTTTAAATTTTATGATTTCATAATCAGGGATAGTGGGTAATTTTAAGGAACGCAATTAATCTTGGGTGCAGAGGTATTTTGCAAAGGGAAACAAGCATAAAAGTCTCCACTAGGGGCATGCTTGACCATAATTTTTTGTGATGTTAACTGCTTAAAGTACCACTTTAATCATTTTAGGAACTGAATTTCAGTTAATTGTTTTTGATAACTGTTGAAATTAGAATATATATATAATTAATATATATTTAAAGCTTATATATATAACCCAATATTGGGGTATATACAGTATAAGCTTCAAATGTATATTTTTTACCACCGTTTGGTTAAAATTGTATAATGCAATGGTGATACTTTTTTTGGCTATTAAGGAAATCTAAAAAGCTAAACAAATGTTTTAAAAAAGTGAAGAAACAACTTAAATACAATGTAGACGTGATATTAATATCATACCTGATAATGTATAGGGCACCAAGTAACCTTTTTAGTTAAGTATGGTGGTTCTGCAAGGAAATATTGTGTGAGTAGCACTGTGATCTCTTGAATACACTTAGCCAGTTGGAAGTTTCTTGTGCATCAAGTGCATGAGAGGTTGCATTGTCTAAACAGCAGTCAGAACTGAATTTACCTCAAAGATGAAGCCAGCTGGGCTTCTTTTGTGACAGCAGCTCACTTTGTTCTGCTGAACTGAGCACCTGCTGGGAAACTAAGAGGGCAGTGCTGATGGATTGTAGCTGTAGGGAAGCTTTCAGCAACAACACTGCTCAGCCAGAAGCTAGCTCGTGTGCAAAGTGCAATTGGAAATCTCACAGGTTTTGCTGTCCCTTTCTGTCACAGTGTCAGTTTCAGAGTTAAGTATACAAAATGATGATTTTCCACATCGTTTCATATTTTCTTTCTGTATTATTGAGTGAATTACCTACATCACTGTACCTCAGATTAATCATTTAGTTTATAGCATGCTGAACTATGTCAGAGGCTCAAAATCCAGTTCACTGTCTGTGCATGGCTATGAACAAAAACAATACAGTTGATGTCTCATGGCCCTAATAAAGATGTGTTTGAGCAATGCAAATGATTCAAGGATCATCTTGCATCTGTCTTATAAGTTCTGATAAAAGTGGAAAGACTTGCATGATGGCCTTTCCTTTCTTTTCTAATGAGTCCTTGATGTCTTGTTTAAACTGCAAGAGATGAAAAAAGCTCATTGTTAAATACCACGAGTGGTTTTTGCACTGCCACTCAAGCATACGAAGTTTTAGTGCAAGGGGCTTGCAGAAACTTAATTTTCTTTCTGTTTAATTGGCTTTTCCTTCTCATAAAACGGTGAAAAAGGCAAAATAAAGATATTGCGGCAAGGCACTGATGAAGCAATAAAACGAAGACTTGACAGCTAGGAAATTCTGTGCCCGGGTAGTTCTGAAGCTTGTGATAAGTGTCTAGCAATGCAGAGTGATGCCCTAATTAGAATAAGGCATGTCTGGATGTTTCCGTTTCTCATGTCTGACTAGATACTGCTGTATTAAACACTTTGTCACTAATTAGCTGTTGAATAAAAACAAGTTGTGGTGCACTGTATTAATGCTCTGTGTTTGCTTTGATTAAACAGGAATTAGTCAAACACACTCATGATCAAACTGACAAGAGCCATTTACGAACAGCACTTGATGCAATGAAGGTAAGTATCTCCATGTAGAGCTTTCTCTGTTTATGTGATTTGACCATTTCACCATATCACATACAGTAATATGTCAATTCTGCTTTGCTTGGAAAATGATCACCTCTCCCACAAAAAGACTCCTGAAACACTTTGAGACATACAGTACTGTACTAAGTCATTGGTGTGCAGTCAAATATTATTTTAAGAAAATGTGTGTTTAAAACAGCAAACATGTTTGTCAGACACATGATGACCTGTTTTAAACCAGTTTGGGTTTTTGTTTTCTTCTATCTTCTAGCTTACTATAAGCTGAAATTAAATATAATGCTAAACAAAGGAAATGTGATATTCTGGGTGAATCATCCATGTAAACCATGTTTGAGGTTTACAAGTTATACTGTGTATTTAAGGCTGATTTTTCCTTAGTATGTAAATACAGTATGGTGCTAATGTAAATTCAAAATGTAGGTGTTTTTTCTTACATGAGCAGAGAAAATACATTTTATAGGGTTTTTAAAATTCTTTTAGAAAGAGCTGAGGAAAACTGTTTTAAATTATTGATTAAAATTTAATTTGTCGACAGCAGAAAACATTTCTCTCAAACTGTCTGGCTTAGTTCAGGAAATCACATTTTCCTGAGTAATTGTTCAAATAAAGTGAACAAACTAGTGTAAATAGGCATGTTTAAAACAGTTTTATTGTCAACCAGGGACTTCTGAAGTCGACTTTCTTTTACATGTTTACTTGAGGTTTCTCTACTTACATACAGAAAACCTGATGTACAGTAAATGTAAAATGAAAGTTATAGGAAAAAACAAAAAGTGCATTGTCATTTTTTATACAGTTTGGACTCCAGCTCTATCCAATAGTATCATTTTCTGCAACTTGACAAGGTGTACTGTACTTTAGACTCCAGATGGGAATAAAACATTAAAGTACGAATACGTTTTACAGCAATAAATGATGATAATTTACAGTGAAGTCCCATCACATAAACAAATGTTTCAAATTACTTTGTTAAGTAATTTTAGGATGCTGAGGTGTTATTGAAGTGCTGTCATTTGATGACACAACTCAACTGCAGTGTGTTGGGTGGAGTTGGGTGGTGACTGTTCAGGGGCTGAGTTGAGTGTACATTACATTCTTCTCCCATTTTTTTCTGTTCTGGTATGCAGGACCTCGCTCAGTATGTCAATGAAGTAAAAAGGGATAATGAAACCTTACGGGAGATAGATCAGTTTCAGAAGTCTATTGAAAACATGGTAAGTCTATGAAGTGAAATAAAGAAACAAAAAGGCGCCTTGGCTTCCCTTTTTAACAAAAGCTCAAGCGTGTAATTTGTGTTTCAGAATCAGTCTCTAAGAAAGTTTGGAAGGCCAAAAGTCGATGGTGAGGTACGGGTAGCTTCTCTAGATAAACGTGCCAAACAAGACAGGTGAGATTGTTGTGCAGAACATATCATTACGTATATCTTTTTGCGATTCTTTTTTTAGACTCAGATCCCTGGAAGTTACTTAACGCACTTTCACATCTCTATTTTATTGGATGCAGGCATATCTTCTTGTTTGACAAAGCGGTGATTGTTTGCAAGAGACGAGGAGACAACTATGAAATGAAAGAAATAATTGATCTCCACAACTACAAAATCACTAACAACCCCACCACAGACAAAGAAAACAGAAAGGTTTGTTGTTAAATGTACAATATACAAACAAAATGTCAATGAAAAACTGGAGATGGGATGTGCATTCAGGATGTTTTGATTTCAAAGAAACACAGATAGTGCTCTTCTCTGAATAGCATTTGAAATGCATTATTTCAAAGTGGAGAAACAGATCTTTTAGAACTGTTATTAGTATTCTGATCTAATAGAATAATTGGTCACTATTCACCCATTTTATAGTCTGAATGTGCCTCATCTCTGCCATAAAGATTAAGGAAGGTTACTGCTCATCTTTACAAGCCTTCCAATATTTTTTTCTGTCAGTCTTTCTCAGCCTTTGGCAAATCATGTATTTTGTAGCAGGAAACGATTTTGCTCTCAGTTGCCAGACACGATATACACTTAATGACAATTGTCTTTGAACTGGTGGTCCAAAACACCATTTTTAATAAGGATTCTTCTGCTGAAGAGGCACCCACTGGCCTTCTCCCTTTGAAGTCAGACGGATCTGTGCTCTTACCCATTAGCTTGTATGCTTACTGTGATCAAACTGTATCTCTGTGGGACTGAAGAGATCACCTGAGACTCTGCACGTGCAAAAATACTAAGTAGTCACAGATGTTTGGTGGATTCTCAACAGTAAAGGATGAATTGTAAACCTTATTTATTGTTAATGACCCCTTATTAAGTGGTCTCCACCCTTTCATAACAGAATTACTCAAGGGTTTTCCAGAACAGCCTACATATTTTAGCTTCAGTACTAAGATGCAAACACATTTAAAAATAATTATTCCCCTCTTACTTAGGAGTCTTTACAGACTGTTTCCTTAGAGCCCTTTTTAATAGTTTTCATCAAATATCAAGCTGCCTTTTAATTTAAACACTTATTTTAATGGCTATTATGTCTTTTTTTCCCTGTGAATTCGTCATTTGTTTAATTTTATTATTCTTTCTAACAGTGGTCTTACGGCTTCTACCTCACACACAACCAGGGGCAAAACGGATTTGAATTCTTCTTCAAAACAAAAGAATTAAAAAAGAAGTGGCTGGAGCAGTTTGGAATGGCAATGTAAGCACGTGAAAGGCAATAACCACTGCAGGAGCCACTGCTGGTGGTTGTTTTTCAGGTTCAGTCACTAAAAATTGGTTTGTGAGCCATGCAGGGTCATCTGTTTGCTGAATCGCCATTTTCAAAAACCTTCTGCAAGTGTAAAAAGCCATATGGAAAAGAGTGTGTTGACATAAAGTTCTTTCTTGTTTATCCAGGCTGGGGCTTTATCACTGATCAAACATGTACCTTTGATTAAAGTAACACAGTACACAACAGAAAAAAATCATCCCGCTAAGTAGAATTGCAAATGACTTATATTTCTGATATACTGAAATTGCAATGTGTTAAATTCTTTTTGTGTGTGGGTGAAAAAGGGTTTGCAATTCTAAGTTCCCTTTTGGCAAAAATAACCTAATATAGTTTACAACAGGGGGTGTTCTGGTTGCAGTGCAAAGTCAAATACATTTATTTAGTAAAATTAAATCTGTTAATTGTGTTGAATGCCATTTCCGAACATTGTGCTGGCATCTATTTGAAAGTGAAAGGACAAATCTAAAAAGGTTTCAATAAAGCTTCTTTATCAAGCGGAAACTGAATCGGTTTGGAACCAATTTAAAGGGATACATAACTTTAGTTATAAATTCCCATGAGCGTGAAGTTCTTTCCTAAACCCTTTACAACTGGATCAAAACATATTATGTGAAATACGAAAATAAATTAACTCATCAACAAAAAACATTTCCTCAGCAATTAATGTGTACAATACCACATGTGTGTTTAAGTGCATGTGTACATAGTTCATGTATACTATACAGTATACACTGAGAGGCATATATCAATGCATGTACAGTATAGAAATATACATATTGCATGCATAAGAACATCTAGAAGATCAGTGTTTTCATTCATGTGAAAAAATAATTACAGTAATGCACAGCAGGATCCTGCTACCACGCTAAAGCCTTCTCCAAATTGCAGCCTTGTACAAAACAATCTGTTTGTATATTAATGCATATATGTTAGCGTTAACAATGGTGGCTTTTTTGGGACTTACACAACCATTATTTCTTAAACACTCATAACCTCAGAAGGAAGACAAACAATAATCACACACCTGTTCCTTTCCTACAGATCCAACATCAGACCTGAAAATGCAAATGGAAATTTCCATGAGTTCAAAATGCATACTTTCGAGAGGATCACATCTTGCAGTTCCTGCCATATGCTTTTGAGGTAAGCCGTCAGTAAGACGGAAATAATTTGCATAATGATTCTGAGCGCAGCTTGCAGTCACTCTACATCTTTCATTTTAGGGTTTTATTTCATAGTTTGATTTGTCCTTCAGTTTATTTGAACATTTTCTATATTAATGTAGCAGTCTAAAACAGTAGCTGGCCAGCGGCACTAAGCGAAGACTTTTGTTCTTTTAGGGTGATTGTCAGATTCAGTAAGTTACGCTGTATGCTTTTTCAGTTAGGATTGTGATAAAAGTTATTTGATTGTATTTGTCATAGGTTAGTGAAGTAAATTCTGCCTAGGACGGTTTTGTTGCAATGACGTACGATATATTAATTTATGAACTGCAATAGAACAAAGCAGAGGGAAGTTAAAATATGTCAATCAACATTGTAGAGATAGGGAAATATAACAGTTCAACTGATAAGTGTTGAGATACTTTGTGAATATTGTGCTGTCAAAAGAAAATTATGGACAGTATGTTGTGTTTTATTGTAAATGTGATGTCTGTTTTGATGTGACATTAAGATAATCAGTTTTATATTAAATAAGAAGCTGTTCAAAAAGGCTCCCTGGCTACATTTTATTGTACAAGAAGAGAAGTGACACACTTGACCTCAAACCTGCAGGTCTGTTAGACACCAGGCACCTATTTCTCATCATTCCAGCCCTTAGGAGCTGTGCTTGTTAAAAGAAAGCTAGAACCACATTGTAAAATGTCATTTTTTTTCTTTCAGAGGAACATTTTACCAAGGCTACCTCTGTTCCAAATGTGGCGCTGGAGCCCACAAAGAGTGTCTTGGTAGGATTGACAGCTGTGGAAAAACAAACTCAGGCAAAGAAACTTTTCTTTCAATTCCTTCATTTATAATAGATTCAGGGACTCTTTGTGCAATAGTGTTGCCTAAGTGTTTTTTTCTCTATAGTATGCTACTTTTTTCAGCAACCACTAAGCTTGCCATTTTTGCGACTTACTTTTATTGACTGTCTTTTTTGATCATTTCAGAATTTCTTCAGCTTATGTATCTCCCCATAAATATGTTTGCTTAACAGGAAGAGCAAATACAAACACATATCAAAATTCATAGGTACTCAGAAGGGGATAGCTGTACTGCTGATGACAAACCATTACGTTATTTCTTTAAAGATAACTTTAAAATCACTATGCGATACGTGAAACAACTCCAGAACAGTGACCTGAAACAGACAAAGGAAATGTGTTGCTTTTTCCATAACAATACTAAATTAAATTAGTTTATTGCACAGGTAATGAATTTTTTGACTAGTACACTTCTGTAAGATCAGCACTGAGCTTTGACCCTCAGTCTTACTGAGTGTCATTTCCTGTTCGTTTTGGCACTACTCATATCAAACCATATTATGAAATTAAGGCACTCTAGAAGTATACCTGGGCAGACAAACAAACTGTAAGAGCCCTAGAGAATTGTGTGAAAACACCATAATGTTGAATAGAATTAGTGCTGAGTGATCACTGACAATTCTGAGCAAAATTGGATTTCCACACTCTTGTGAAGAATGAAAGTTACTTAGTCCTTGAACAGATAAATTGATGGTGGACTGGTAAACATGGATAGCTGCTTGGCTAGGATTATTGCAATTGTACCCTTATCTAATGATCTTTGAGCTGTGACCATAAACATCCATCGAAATTTATATTAATGCCTTTTTGTCCATCTGACAAGTATTTTACACGGTTATTGTCATGTTATTTCTGAAGGAAACAAAGTGGAATTAAAACAAAAAAGATTTTCACAACAAATGGAATGTACATTTTGGAATTCATCCCCAAAGCCATTGCCTAATATTTACTTTATTTACATAATATTTACTTCAATTCTTTCATTAGTAATGCAAGAGAATTTTCAACACTTGCTCAATAAATTGAATTGCCAGTACAGCACGTTGCTTTGTTTGTCTTGTCAAATAACTGTTATCTGCGTTTTACCTCTATAGTTCTTTTTTGAATTATCTCAAAACTATGAATTTGTTTCTGCACATTGGACAAAGTTCAACATGATAGACAGCCAATTAAAGGCAGTCTCAAAGGAACCAATGAAACAAACTCTTTAGTCCTGCTCCAGGGCAGTTAAGCTTCTGACAGGTATATGCTGCTGAACAAAACAAAGCAGATAGCACTAGCCAAGCACACAGAAAATACTTCAGCAATTTTTCTCTGTGAAATCTGATTAAATTCATGATGCCTGTTTTCAAACTCATTTCAGGTTCTTGTACGCTAAGATCAGAGGTAAGAAATGCATTACTTTAAATGATTTTCCAGAGCAGCTACATATTTCTGCAATAGTTTAAAAACACGCAGAACAAGGTCTTCAAGTTGTTCTGACATGTTGCTTAAAAATACAGTACCTAGAACTATTTTCGTAATCATTTTGTTGCATTCAACATTCTTTAATCTTTCCTTAACCTTTATATTTGTGTATCTTTGCTTTAAAATGATGTACCTTGGAAATGTATTGTATTGTAAATAGTAATAGTATACTATTTATGCCTATATATGCTCCCTTCATTCATATATGCTGATTTTTGTTGCATCAAGTTATTTTACCTTATATTTATCCTTTTTTTTAAATAATGAGTATCAAAACATCAAAATAAACTGATGGTGTGGATAAGTGTTCATAAGTTTGCTTTCTTATATAACATTGACTTAATGACAGGTAGCTATTTTTACTGTTTCACAAGAGTATTTTAACAAAACAGTACCCTTCACATTACACTTGACAAATGCACTAAAGAAATATTACATTTCTTAAACTTATGCAGGAACTCTTAAGTTTAGATAGAACATTAAACTGAAAAATAATCTAAAAGTGAAATATTTGAAAAATAGACACAGTAATGTAGAATGCACCCTAAAGTAAAAAAAAAACTCACCTTGATGTATGTTATAAGGAGCAGCCTATTGTATCATATATCCATAGAACCATTGCATAGTATCATTGACACAGTCAGTCTTGCTAGAAGTACTGTATTTAGAGAACACCCAATTTATCTTTCACATTTTTCTTCCAACAGAAAAAGAGACACGTGGATCCAGGTCAGTATGCTTCATTATAGTAATACAGATTTCTGTTTATTACTGAATATGACTTCCCGGTTGGCCCAATAAAGATATTTGTGTACCACTGTACATTGCAATGGACAGAAGTGTTACTGCCTTCTACCCTGATATCATCAGATCTCACAAACTAAGCAAGCCTGGGCCTAGTCACTACTTTGATATGAGACCTCAGAGGAAAATCAGACTGCTGCTATAAATTGAGTTTAAAATAAAAGACTACATACATGTAGTCTTATTAAGTGCCTGTAAATGTAGTACTGTACAAACAGTATTCAGTATACAAGTCTGTATACAGCTATACAAACCATAATTAAACAAAATTACATACTGTAGATCTTGACTTATATCATATGCCTTTAAGAACAATCAGTCCTATTAGTATGGTGTTTTGGCATTGTGTTGTAATGCTGTGTACTCACATGGATTGTGAAAATGGTTGTTTAAACTTGGCTGTCTTTGTTTCATTTAATATACATTGTGCTTCAGGGCTTTAATAACTCATTGTACTTCACACAGAAAAAGACAGGCTTTTGCAAGTTACCCACACTTAACTTTCGGTAACTGGATACCTAGAGATAAAACTTATTTATCTTCGTAATGTTAAGTCTCTTTTTTTTGTCATTTCCCATTTAAAGCTAAACAGAACTAAGTATTGTAGGCAACAAAACCCATGCTAATTAAATAGTTAATAACAGCTTATGACTATTTTGGAATTCAGACTTATTCAACTGTACAAAATTTCTGAATATGTTCAGCGCCTTTGATTCACGAATTGACAGATTTAAACAGGACATTTTTGTTATTCGAATCAAGGTATATGTAGAAAACTACTGTATGCTTAAAATGATATCCTTCAGATTACAATGTAAACCAGTTACAATGTATGAGTGTCAGAGATGAAGATAATCATGGTAATATATAGCTTATATACTGTAGCACTTTTAAAATCAATACTCTCAAACCTCTTACCATAAAATGTCTTTAAAGAGTTATTTGACATTATATTGTATTTGTAAAAGTACAGTAACTTCCTGTGATAGCTAATGAAAGCACACACATAGGAATGCTGGAAAACAAGTCGATTATATTTACTGTGCATTCAATGAAGAGTGCTAGCCTGCACAAAGGGGGGTTATTTTTAAAAAATAAAGATCTTATCAGAAAGCTTTAGTAACTATGGAGGAGAAGAGTGGTTGGGTGCCAAGTAAAGCATTTTCAAGAGAGTAGGGTTTAAATGAAAAATAGGTGATGTCCACTGGGAAATTCATTACTTCTCTCCAACATCAAAGCAGTTAAATGGTGATAAAATGTCTAAAATATTACCACTGACCATCCATTCCATTATTTAGGAACAAGTAATAGGTTTATTCCATGCTGAAAAGAGAAGAGAGAGCATCAAATAAACCTATCACTTGTTCCTTTGCAGACTACGCATGCTGACGCAGCTACCCACCTGAATCCCTTTATTTATGTTAATCAAATTTTAAATATTTTTTAAATAACTGAAAAGGTGTGTGTCAGTCTTCACTCAGGTTGGGAGATTGTCAAACTGAGATATTTTATTCAATCAGCTGAAGGGGAGCATATCACAGAGAAAGGGTTTCCCCTACCACTCAGTAAGACATGCTCACTGGACTGAAGTGACTCTTTCCTTTTTATACATTAAAAGTAGGCAAGACTTTAACATATCAAGGAACATAAGGGAAAGGGACAGTGTCAGAAGTCAAACAAGGACAGGACAGGAAGATGCCATTTGGCATCCTGCAACCTGTTTCATTTCTCTCTGGTTGAATGGGTGTGGAGAATCACAGGCTAAGACAGTGGTCTTGGGTGCTAACAGAAAACCTTTCCCGCACATAGTCACTGTCTTGACCTTTTCACTTGGTCTTCCACAATAGTATGCTGATTTCAGAACATTGAACATTCTGACAAAGGCTGAAATTGATGAGCATTAATCTTGCCACATTTGAACCATAGCAAGAAGCATGGGGCTGAATACATGAAGCTTTTACCTCAGTGCTAGTTTTGCATGAATTTTTCTTTAAAATAAATCCTACTGGTTTTACCGTAGAACATTTCTAAAACACCCAGGAGGTAAAGTGAGAAGTTTATTAATTTATATTTTCTGTCTTCATTGAATAATCTTTTTCAATCAGCTGCTGTTCTTTGTTTGAAACAGCACTGTGCTAAAAGGTTTATACATCAAGACTTTATTGATCACAACAATGGCATCACAGGATTTATTTTTTCGCAGTATTATTTAGTTTGTTTTACAACAGAGCTACAGTATATATTAAAGAATTATCTTTGTTACTTTGTTAATACTGAAAAGGAACTGAAAAATCATCAGCAAATGGAAAATGCAAATATACATTGCTTCTAAATATGGTACATGATTCTTATTAAATCTGTTGTCTATAGTAGAAAAAGCTTTCACTTTATTTGCTTTTAGCTCCTTTACCCAGAAAGCATTTGTCTAAAATGCTCTGCTGGAATTCTTATGGTTTCTTTAAAAAACTCTCTCGATGCTAACAGTCTTTTATTGCTTATTGGTATAGCTCTTTTGTCTTTAACTACAAAGTACTGGGATGCTTGTGCAGTCATTCCCCCTGAGAAAGCATCTTTCCTTGGCCTTTCTTTGTTTAAACTACCTTCAAAGGATCCTTTCAATACAGGCTTCCATAATGTGAATTATTTTACTTTGAGGGAGAAGTTATTTCGTTTGTAACTCTGGCTTTATCCCAGGGCACGAAAAGTGAAAGCCAAGTGTAAGAATGCCTTTGCATGTTGTTTATAAGAAAAGAACGCAAAACAACAAAAAAAAATGCCCTGGGTAATCTTTGTGTTGCTTCCCTCTCAGATGCAATTTTAGTCTGTGTTAGGATTTTAATTTGAGATAATGCACGTTTCAGTAAATATTTGACTCCTTAGAATAGATGCTCATTTTGCATGGTTTATCCAGCAGTGGGAGACCTTTGAGCTCAATTATGTTAATTACAGAATCATTTCTCCAATCTGTAATTAGGATAATTGCTACAGCATGCCACTTGCAATGGCAGCCAACCCATGAATGTTAGAAAGATGCTAGCGAATGAAACCAAATATGTTGTGCTGTGTTTTGCCATTCGGAATAGGTAGGCATTTCTTTATCTGCTATGAAGTGCTGTATTCTCCCTAAAAAAGAAAGCTCATTATTTATTCATTCTAAGTGCAGATTAATTGCTCTTTTATTTTGGGAGTTCAAGGTCACAACAAAGTAAGGGTAATCGTGTATTCCTTTTAATTTAAATCAAACCTTCATGGTCAGAATGTCTTACATTGTCAAAAACTTCAGACACAACGCATGTTTTTTCTTTCAAAGTTGACAAAGCATTGCACATTTTCTTGGGTGTTAGTCTTTTAAAGAAGATAGGAACAACAGGATTTTCGAAAATATGTACACATTTTAATTCAACACTGCATTTCTAAATGCTAAGTGTAATTATCTACAGTACCAGCAGCATGTAACCTCTTATAAATTAGAACAAGGCTGTGTTGCAAAACCTTTGGCAAAAGTGCTAACCAGAACATAAAAAGTAAGAATAGGAAAACCAGTAATGAATAAAAATGATGTCCTATTCCCACTCCTTCAACACGTTCAGTTTCTTTTTTGTGGTTTTATTTCAGGTTTACCAAGGATGCTGGTTATCCGTGACTACCAAGGTGTCCCACCTCCTTTTAATGGCCCTCCTTTAAACATCCATATTGGTGATATCATTGAGCTGCTCTGTGCAGATATCAAGAGCTCATGGTGGAAGGTACAGTATATGCATACTCTGTTCATGAAAATGCTTATGAAGCAAATATATTTAGCTTGAAGGACATGGGTTATTATACGCATTTTCTTTTCATTTAATGGTCTTTCCTAATTTCTGCATGTATCCCTTGTGAATTTTCTTGTGCAGTTTTTTTTCCCTTAGATTGCTGGTTGACAGACTAAGTCTTATAGCAGAAATAGCTTCTGAAAGGGCTTTTCAGGGTTGCATTAGAGGAAAAAGCAGAAAATCAGATTTGTGTTATAGCACTGTTGTAAAAAATTGTTTATTTAGTGCTTTCCCATGATGGGTTCAGCACAGAAGTTTTGGAATTTGCACATATCTTTTTGGAATTCTTGAGCTTGAAACATTAAACGGCAACCTGAATACTGCGAAACAATGGATAATCATACATATATTCTAATGTGCAAAATTAAAAAAATTAGTATAATGTAGTGTAGTAAGTGTAGTAACAGGGTGGCAAAAGACCGTTGTGATAAAGTATTATTTTTTATTTTAAATGGGTAAACCTAGACTTGTAAATATTGCTGTTTTTGTTTCCTGCAGCTTGATCACTGCCCTAAAAGAATAACTTTCTGACTCAGCTCCATTTCTGTTGCCATTCCTGAAATTATCCAAATGGGTATAAACATACACATTCAGGGGTTATATACGATGTCATTTTCTGAGGAGGGAATGAAGAGTTTAACAACTCCAGACTTGCTAAATTGACAAGTGTTGAGAAACTACCCTGAGTTTTCACTACCATGTCCATGTGCATTGGGCAATTTGTCTGTGCTGATATATTTACAATGATTTTTAGGAGACTTGAACCAAATTCCACCCATGTAGAGATACATTTATTGTATTTTTTATTATTTTATGCAAAATTACACTTCACACAGTGTGATGATACTTAATCTTTACAGCCTTGTGGCGCCAAAGGACAGAATTACAGAACACTAAGCATTAATCTCCTACGTAACCTGCAGACAATTATTTTTGTACTGGTGCCAGAAAAATACAATCAATCACTGTAATTTTATTTTACCCTTTGGCTACCATCTGTTTACTCTAACAGGGTTATAAGTTTAATCTGTATCTTGTGCTTATCTGTGGCGTAACAAATAGAAGGGGTTTTCAAGATCAGAGATAAAATGTTATTACGTTAAATATATCATTGACATTTTAGGATTCAGTTTCAAAATCTAATTTGTTCAGAAGGGAATATGGGAAAACCTGAACTGAACTGTAAGCAAAACAGAAGACAAAGGAAACATATCAGAAACATATTACACTACAAGCCTTATACCTGTATCTTACTGTATATTACTTAGGTAATATTAAGCACAAGCACTATTGTTGATTGTATCAGTGTCTGTGCTTTTTATCAATGGACTATGTTTTAATCTTAAGTCTAACATATTAGTAACAAACATGAAGTTGGTGTCTTCTGATTTAACTGAATTATTAGAAAGGCACTGTGTTTTTTGGCCCACTAAAGTTAATTATTGCTCTAATTAGTTAAGTGCTCAGATGGAATGCAAAAACAAATATACAGGGCTATCGAGGACTGGAGAATTTGTGCATCTTGACTGTATAGCATGCACAAGTTATGTGAAGAAAAAATGGTAAAATATTCCAAATTAGGAAGGTAGCAGCAATGCAGAGTAGTGTATAGGGCTTTGGATTGCTGCACATGAAGTCAAGAGATTAAGTATTAGGTGAGATACTGCTGCTGTATGATTGAACAATGTTTTTCACCCAAAATAGCTCAAGAAAACCCACAAAAGATGCTTAAACTGTTCACAGCATCTAAATGTGAAGAATAGATAACTGTAATCTTTATGTTACTTTATGCTGTTATATAATTGTATACAATTAAATTAAAATGTTCTATTTATCACATTTTACTCTTCATCTAAACACAAAAGGGTAACATAAGGTAATTAACTGAATGAATGGTAATAATTATCAAGTATCCGGATGCTTCTGGTACTGTGTGTTTACATTTTTAAAAATATATCTGTAAACATAATGTTAATAATAATTAACACTGCAGGTAAATTAATTCTGGTCCTTGTGTTAAGCTAATTGTCAGATATTTATTTGAGGAAGTCTGCTAGCCATATGTAATGCAGTTGCTTGTCATGGTTTCAGGGACAAATGCCTTTAACTAGGGAAGTTGGCTTCTTTCCAAGTGATGCCGTTAAACCCTGCCCATGTGTAAGTATACATTTGTAATTGTTTTACGTGCGATATAGTAATAGATTTTGTTTGTAAATGAATATATTCACAGGTGACTGAACATTTTGCAGTTTGCTAGACCTGCAGACATGTGGGAATGTCTGTAATCTTCCCTCTTGTAGGAATGAATAATGCCTGCTGCTGACTTCAGATTTAAATGCTCCGTAAAATTAGATTTTTTTTCATCCCTAATGTGTGTGGCTCCTTGTTATTGTTATTGGATTTTAAATATGAGTCTTCACTGAAACGCACAAAAGAGGAAATAAATCCTCTCTGGATATCGTTAAATTGAAGCGACATGCAATTATGGAATGTAAGCCTTCCCCTTTTGCTATACAAAACAGAAGAATTTCAAAGGTGTTGCTTGAGGTTAAATGGATTGAGAACTGTTGATCCTCCTTTTACAACACAAATCTTTATTATGGTTAAGTTGTGTTGCACAAGCTTTAAAGATGAGTTTAAGAAAGTATATTTACTGGACTTTTTCCTATTGCTTGCAATTATGTTTAGCCATTCATTTTTACTTTTTTTTATTTTTACTTTCATGCCGTAAACAAGTACTGAACAGAAAGGAGATGTTGGTGGATCTGTGATCACAAAACATCCTTCCTTCTTTTTTTGAACTGCTTCATGCAGTTCAGGGTTGTGAGGCAGCTGCAGCCTATTCCAGCAAGCAAAGGGTGTGAGACACTGTACTGTACATACACCCTGGATAGCATGCCAGTCCATTGCAGAGCAGACATACTGTACAGACACGCACACAGTCACCAGCGTCCATTTTCCAAGAAGCCAATTAACCTACCCAGTATGTCTTTGGATTGTGGGAAGGAACTGGAGCACCAGGAGGAAACCCACACAAAAACAGGGAGAAAATACAAACTTGTAGCTAAAGAAATGCCCTGAAACAACGGTTTCTTAAGCTCCCTCTTTACAACATGTTAATAATTAACTTTCATTTAAGAGTACATAGATAAGGTAATGAAGGAGGACACAAGGCTGGCTAAGGCCATCTCTAAACCATTTGTTCCCTTAAAACCTTTAAATAATTGACTTTAATTGTTTTTCAAACATTTAAAACAAGTGCATTTCTAACACCCTCGCATTTTTGGGGGGTTTCTTTCATCCATTATCAGAACTTCGCTCAAACCTGGTAGGGCTCTCAGGGTTTCACTATTTCTGGGTGCACACACTACATACAGTAAGTAGAATTTGGAGACACGAATTAACCCAGCTGTGCACAAATTTTTATTAGGATTTGTTTTGTAACATCTGTGACTTGCTCTGTTTTTTATCAAATTGTTTGAAAGCAATGCATTATGTTCTTTTAAAGAAAAAATATACTCTAAGGTTTGTTTTGCTGTATTTGTCATTATTGTAAACAAGAACTAAATGTTAACAAATTAAGTCAAGCTGGACTGTTCCTTATCATATAATAATAATGGACTATTTTTTTTAGGGAGTTTGTTCAAATAGAGGTATAAAATCCATTTAAATACCTTTTGGCTACTGTTATTGAGTCAACACATAATTTAGAAAATAAACAAACAAAAAATAAATAAACAGCAAAACAAAACAAAAAACTCAACTTTAATTGATCTACATATTTGTGTGTCTTTAAATCAGGTTCCTAAGCCAGTTGATTACTCTGCCCAGCCATGGTAGGTCATAAACTATTCATATGCAACCTAAAGTTTATTTCTCAAATAAAATGTGTCTTAATATGTGTTTCTCGCCTAACGTTTGCATGAGTGTCTTTCAGAAAAAAATGTGAAATAACAAGAAAACTATTTTCATTTTTTTTTCTGAAAGACTTTCTGGTAGTGGTCATTAACATTTACTGCTAAACCTTTAAAGTTTCATAGTTTTCAGTTTTCAGCCTATGTTCTGGAAATTTGCCAGGAAAGAAAAAAGGCTTGCCTTTAAATAGGTCAAAAGGGGGACAGATTTGCTGTTTCTACAGTTAATGTATACTTCATAGTCATCCACTTAGGGTTATTTAGATCTACAGTAGGTCTTTAATTGTAGTAACCTGTTTTTAAAGTGACTTCTTATTGACATCATCAGATATAAGCAAAACTAGGTTTTGTCAATGTTGCTGGCTTGCATTTTCCTCCCATTATGTTTTTTTTATTTGTAAATTTCCAATCAACAGTTAATGCTCAATGTTTCTGTTCTATGTAGGTTTGCAGGTCAAATGGAGAGGTTACAGGCCGAAGCAGAGCTATTAAATCGAGGAAACAGCACATACCTTGTGAGACACAGAAGTAAAGAAGGCACAGAGTATGCTGTTAGTATAAAGTAAGTGAAAATATCTATTATATGATTTATGGGGAAATAGTTTTCTAGGTTTTGTATTCAACTTTTTGCATATTGTAAGATTTTTGTTCTGTAGGCACTGACAGTATGATTAAATTCAGATTACATTCAGCTATGTTTCATTTTATGATTCAGTGTTTTAATTATTTATAACCCCTTTCTAGTTTTTCTCATTTCTGGAATTATTTGTATTGTCCTTTTAATGTATTGGCTGTAAAAGAACATACCCCAGGCATGTTAAATGCTGCTTAATAAGTACAACCATTTCACACCAAATTGTGGGAAAAGTACTTTTATTTGAGCATCAAGTGTATAATGTTGCTGTGAAAGTCATCGGATCAGGAAGGGCACCCTTTGCACAAATTGTCTGTCTTAGGGATGGCAGTCCATTTCTATTTGTTGCTCTAACGTGAATGGAGCAAAATGTTTTTAGTTAGCCTTATGTTGGCTACTATATATACCTTGATATACAGTATGTTAAAATAGAAAACTAGACACATCCACAAGGATATTCAGCCTAACAAATAAGGCGGACTGTAATAGAGTTGACATTTTCTGAAAAGAGTATTTCGGAACTATCATATTTTTCTCTTCATAGGCACGCCCCAAGTTCAATTATTGAAATTAGAACTCAAAATACTAAATTAAGCCTCGGCATTTCAATTTATAATAAGCATTGGATTTCTACATACAATGTGGATTAGGCATATTATTAGGAAGCTTAGTCTTCAGACACAAGATAAGAACCTCATTCTCAGAAGTAATGAAGATCAGAGAACTAGCACATTGAGACACAAAGAGTAATTTGATTGGACTCTGTTTATTTGAACAAAGCATATGCCTGTGCAATTAACCATTCAAGGAATGATCCACTGCAGAGGTGATAGATTTACATCTGCATTTCTGTCCCGTAAATACAGTTCGTTAATGAGATCTTGGGCTTCTATTGGCATTGGTGTACATTTTGTGTCAAAAATTAGCCCATGTGTTATTATCAAGACTTGCCCTTAGGTCAGTATTGATCTAAATGATCACCAGAAAATTACACTCATAACTTATTCATCACCCACAGGTATAACAATGATGTGAAGCACATCAAGATTTTAACCAAGGATTGCCTTTTCTACATAGCGGAGAATAAGAAGTTCAGAAGCATATTAGTGAGTATATGATTCCTTTTTCTTAAGCCATGGTACAAGGTTACAGAAAAACTGAAACTTTTAGCTTAAAACTTTGTTGGACTTTAATGCACTCCAGCTTTTTTTTTTTGTTTGGTGGTTTGAGCAAACAAAATAAAGAGCAATACAAATTGTCTGCTGTGCGGACTGACAGAACTGGGGGAACTGTGTTAGCTCATTGGAATGTTTTGTGTGTCTAGTGTTTTGTTTTTATTTTTTCCTAATATAGTCTTCAGCTCATTAATTTAAAGGTTGTGATTTGATGAGAAGATGATTTAAAAAATGAAACTTGCATGCAGGGCTAAATAAAACTCTAGCTCAAATAAGAAATAGTCACCTAAAATAAGAAATAATGTAACATAGTATAAGCTGCTGGTTCTTATCTTATTTGTATCAAATTCCTACATTATTGTCGATCCACATGGGGAACACCAGGTTAGCATTATAGGATGCTTTTATTTCTGAAAACCCTGTACTCATTTTCTTTATAGAAATTGTATGAATTTAATTATACAACGAAGGTTTGAAGTCTCTTCCCTGTTTTGCAAGTTTGTAATAGCAATTGTCAATTTGAAATGTGTAAATGGTATTGTTATAAGTATTGTAATACTGTTATATTTTATCATGGGCGGCACAGTGGTGCGGTGGCCAGCATTGTTGCCTCATAGCACTGCTGCCCTGGGTTCAACTCTGGACCTGGGCTGCTGTTTGCGTGAAGTTTGTATATTCTCCCCATGTTCGCGTCGGTTTCCACTGGTGCTCCATTTTCTTCTCACAGTCCACAAACATAGTGAAACATTTAATTGACTTCTGGGAAATTTGGCCAAGTTGTGAGTGCGTACATGTCTGCGTTTGTGTCTATGTGCCTACCCTGCAATGGACTGGCGTCCCGTCCAAGGTATATCCTGCCTTGTGCCTTTTGATTGTGGGGACAGGCTTCGCCTGCTCCGTGACTGGTAAAGCAGTTAGAAAATGGATGGATATTTTGTATCTAATCAACAGGAACTGATAGAGTACTACAAGCATCACTCTCTAAAGGAAGGGTTCCGAAGCCTTGATACAACCCTGCAGTTTCCGTTCAAGGAACCTGAAAACGATGCAGCAGTGCAAAGAAGCAACAGATCAGGAGGCAATAGTAAGTACTAGAATGTGCTGTCAAATGTTTGGAACAAAACAGGTTTTTCTGGCAGGGTACCTGCCTGTGAAGATGTAGAAAGGTTTTGAGTTTTCTATTTTTATTATTTACTGAGATACAGTACCTGCAGTTGATTTTCTGTGCTCATGTTCTAGTTTTAGGTTGACATTAGGAATTTCCTCAGGTCTGTGTGTCCAGGATTTATCTGTTGCTAGTCGTTTTTGTATTTTGATGAAATTATAATTACAACAGGAGATGAAAACAATCTAAAAAACAGCTCTGGGAATGTTCAAAAAAGGAACAGGTCACCCAGGTAGAAATGTTGCAATGGGTCTTGTTGGTTTTGCTTGTGTGAAAAAAAGATGGGAAATGAAAACGACATTTGGTTATTATATGCTGTAAGAAATGTAAAATATCTGATACGAACAGAGTTATCAAACTGTTTTAAAATGTATTGGCTTATTTTATAATTAAAAAAAAACTTTATCTTTTACAGCACCTTGATCCTGTGTTTTGCCCTAAAAAGACTTATTTAATTATGTTAACACTTTAACACCATGCAATACTGCCCTAAACAGTACAGGAGAGGATGCAGACATTGTGAACTGAAGAAAACAGGTTCTGTGTACTAGAAATTAACTATCATTGTGGCATAAGCACAAGGCAAGAACATGTGAAATTAAGGGGGTTTTGTTTTGTTGTGCCGGTCTTGTGAAGAAGGGGTTAAAAACTGTACTTGTACCATCAGCACACCTCCTGCAAGGCTAGAGTTCTGGGTTTGCAAGTGTTTATGACGCATTCCAATCAGCGCTGGAATTATATTTGACTCTACTTCCATATGTCAGTCTGTAAAAAAAATTCCTAAGGTTTCTGAAGGACATGTTCCTCACACAAAATGTAGCCAAATCACAAAGCAGTATTTTATTTGGCTGTCATTTCTCATTGTGTGAAATATAGTGAAATTATTGTCTTCTCTTTTGAGAGAGCAAGAGTTAAAAACTAGATAAATTGTAATCTAGGCAAGAACTGTTTCCCCCCCAGAGTTATTTATTAAGCCTTATCACACAAATTTTTACTAGATCTTGTTAGAAACAACTCACATCTGATTTGTATTTTTGTTTTGTATTCAACACAAAGCATGCACATATTTTTCACATCAGAACTCTATTGCATAATTTATGGAAATTTCCATGGGAATGTGGCAGTGATACATGAGATAAATAATAATTATATCAAATACAGACATACGATCAGTAAGATAATATGTTCAGAGCACAGGAGCCAAAATAATTCAAATTACTCTAAACCACTTTTCTATGTGAAAATGTGACTTACTAAGAAGCAAATGACCTTTTTTGACATAGAAGAAATGGTGGAGGTTATCCATAGTTTGCTGAAAATGCAGAACAGGCTGCAGGGTTGTTTACTTCAACAGACTTATTAATATTCCACCATATCTTAAGAGTTCAGCAGGTGGTAGATATGTTAAAATACTTGTTTCGTGAACAACAGATAAATATGTAAACATGAAATTGAAACTGAATGTGTTCAAAAGAATTAGGAAAGAAATTGATAGCAATCCTTGCATTAAATATTTTACTCTTCGTATTTTTATTTCAAGCAAGAAGAGTAAAAGACACACTAGAGCTTCTTTGATGCCTCTCAGTTAGTTTGACATCACAGACAGGCAGAACGGACATTATGCCAAGAAGAGACCTTTTTGAAAAGCAGTGTGTGGTCATGAATAAATGCATGCCTTTAAACAAGCTCAAGTTGTGCCAGGAATTACCTTTTAAAAATATGAACAGATGTTTTTGAAATTGCAGTAAGCATGAAATCATGAACAACCATTTAAAATGCGGCCCTGCCACGTGGATGTAATACATACATTATACACACTCCAATCCAAGGCTTTAGGTGTTGAACTTGATTTTGTGTAGTATTTTAGGTGCCTACATTAAAAAAATGTGAAAAACAGAGGTAACTCTTCCCAACAAAAAATCTATTCCACTTTCAAAATGCTTAGTATATGTTACTAAAATGGTTTAATATCAATATGTATAAAAACATTTCCCTTTCCTTGCACAAATTATTTAGATTCTTGCACCTTGGGTTTGATTAGTTACTTGTATATTTTAGATTCCAACCACACATTTTTATATAATTAATAATCATCGACATTTATTATAATTCTGATGATTCCTTCATTTTCCGGTCGAATTATTGTAGTTTGTTCTGTATTTATTGTAGTCGAATTCTGTTTGTTCAGCTTAGAATATTGAGAGATTGTGGTTAAATGCAGTGGTTTACATTTGTGTGCCAGGCAGCACTGAGTTATTGATCCTTTCAGACTTTAAGCACATATTTTGTTTTCTGGCAAGCAGATACAGTAGGCCTGTTCAGGAAATCTTGAAATACATTATTTAGGGCTTTTATGAAGGGAATTTCATGGTTTCTAAGAAAATGAGCAAATGTCCCTATAAACAGAAGGAATTTCAACAGATAAAATAAATCTTGACTTTTTATTTGTATTTGGGTTGGCATACTGTATACTGTTTGTTTACTAATACTCTGTGAAGACCCTTCGGTAACTTCCAATGTGAAATACATTGGAAGTGTTTGTTTATGGCTGCTATTCGCTTGTTTACCTTCATTTCAGAGCTGAACAGGCCTGGGTGCTCATCCCAGTCTTATGAGAACTTTCCAGGTGTTTTAAAAATGATTTCATAATAGAGATTTTGAGTGCACTTCACTGAATACATGCTTTATACACTGCTATAGTAAATAAGAAAGATTTTATGGTCTGGTCCAAGCAAAGCCTTTTGTTGAGAAGCCATCTCTTTTTTGCTTGTCCTCTAGTAAATGCCCTGAAGACAGCAGTGGATGGCTGTATCCAATAAGCACGGAACAAAAACATTTTTATTTGTATACAAACATCACTGCATAGGCACTAATACTGCACCCGATTAAAAAAGGAGAAATCCAAAAACATATTGCTGAGCTGTCAGAAGCTTGCTTGCAGCTTGTTGGCCATTGTGGTCATATGGGGTATCAGATGGCAACACAAGTCTGTGTTATTACTGGCAGTAGCAGTTGTTTGTGTGACTAGCCTTTATGCTCTTTAAGCATCTTTTTTCCTGTTCTCTCTATGCTATTTCCCAAAGCCAAGGACAAAAAAAAGGTGTGACTTGAATAAAAATTTCAGAATCTTACAAAACATATTTGTCCTTCTCTCAGATACCTATTCCAGCTACAAAATAAAACCACCAATGTTTGTTGTACAAGGGTCAAATAATCTTGATGACTGTCAGATATGAATGAGCTACTTGAATTTTACATATACCCATTGCTTATCAGATTAAGTTTTCTGTTAACTGTTCTGTTATCAACTTTTGCCAAACTTTTAGTTAATATTTAAACGTTTCTTTGCTTCTCTCTTTTTCCACCCCCTAAGCCCCATTGCTCTGTGGGTTTTCTTTTGTAACTCCTCCGGGCTATGGCTTTGTTCCTCCTTCCTCTGCTCCTTTCTGGTCAGGTACTGCTTTATATTCCTTTCATTTGGCTTTTTTGCAGTCTGAACAGGCCTGGCTGCTCACTCTTATAGGAACTTTCCAGCTGTTTTTTTTAAATAATTTAATTGGCTTTGCATTGCTGTGGACTTTCAGAGCACACACACACCTACATGTGTGTATACAAACACCCGCCCACACACAAACACAGCTGGACAGCCAAATTACAAGATAATGATGTTTTTTGTCAGCTTCATTTTGTGTTTTGTTTTGTGAATAAATTAATTTTAATTTTTTCAGAACTGGCAAAAAGGAAACACATCCATTCACCGTTTCCTCTGTTCCCTACAAGTTGTACTTGCTTCTTGTTTCCAGCCAAAGGACCCCAAAAATGAAATTCTAAACAATGGTAGAATTACAGTTCAGTAAAACCTGACAGCTTCAGCGGCTGCACTCCAAACAGTCACCACAGCCAGCTCTATGAAATGGAGTAATGGAAAACAATACAACAAAATAAATTACTTACATGAAATCTGTTTCAAGATTTCAAGATTGCTCATTTTAATATGGACAGATAGAAGACAGATTATCTTTTAATCTATTTTACATACAATATGTGTTTGATGACCCAAGGCATGTTACTTCCCATTAGAAGACTGATTGCTTAATTAGGCAATCGAGTTTGCAGAATGGTAGCAATGGAGAGTAAATGAAATGTAGGTACAGTAGATGCTTTCAAAAGAGAACGATTGCAGTGAAAACAATAGGACCAGCTAGATATGCACTCTCTTTCTGCAACAAAAACTTTTCTTATTAGATACTGATAATGTTATGCCATACAAAAGCCTTCATCTGCCTTCATCCTTATTCAGTTAAGATCTACAGCAGCTGATATAAAGTTGAATTTCCCTTTTCATAAAACCAGACCTCTGCTTAAATATAATCACAATGTTTGCATGTTTTCAGCTTACCAAAATTCTGTACTGTCTGTACAAGTCTTGTTTTTGAACATCCAGCGCAAGAGAGGATTACTTATGTAGCATTGACATACTGGAAAAGCATGTTAACACATGCCTTGTAGCAAATGTGTTTTTTGATAGTTTCTTAAGAGTTTCTATTTAAGTGAAGAAAAAGTTTTAAAACACAATAAGCAATATGTCTGCAACAAGCATGTGAAGAAACATGCTGGTCTCTCATTAAATGTTTTTGGAGAGAACAGATAAATACTGATTTTACAAATAATATCAGTAGTATAAATCATATTCATCTTGCACATAACACCTACTGTACAGTAGGTAACTGAAAATTGGTAAAAACTGCTCTTTGACAGATCTTATCACATAATGAATGAAAAAAGAGTTTGAATGAAATAAGGCCCACCAATAATACACACTTACACTGCTAATTCTCTCAATTCCCCCTTTTTATTATTATTTTTTTATTCTGGTGGAATTCTTTTTTCTCTTATTTGCTTTTCAGTGTTCACTCCGAAAGTAATTGGCACTGCTGTTGCACGCTATGACTTCTCCTCCAGGGATACGAGAGAGCTTTCTTTACAGGAAGGAGATGAGGTAAAGATCTACACAAAAACGGGTGCCAATGGCTGGTGGAGAGGGGAAATTAATGGTAGGGTAAGTATACTTTTTATCAAGGGAAATATTTCTTGTAAACTTTAACCCATGCAATAACTGTACATAAGTGGCCTCAAGAGACAAGTAGGATTGTCTTCTGCAGGAATATAAATACAGTGTCCCTGACTCCAAAAGGTTTTTGAAATCTCTAGGAGAATATTTTCAGAGAAAGAAGTGATGTATTTTCTTTGAAGTAATCCACACAGATGTGTTAATTCTCATCGATTATGCTACAGCAGACATTTGTAACATTTTGGTACTTAACAACAGAACGATTTAATAAATAGACATTGCTAGATGGTAACAAAACGGCTTACTACTAAGGAGAAGTGGCGTGCGTGTGTGTTTTTTTAAAGCCCTTCTACTGAAAAAAATCAGGTTTTAAATAAAAGACATACTTGCACATCAGGCCAAATAGGGTGCCTTCCTTAAAATGATGAGTAACATTTCTGTGTGGTTCACCCCAAAGTGAACTCATTTGAACCAACTGCTATACTCAATTTGTTTGGGATTGAAATCAAGATTTTTCTCTCACTTGAATGTCAAGGGGTTTCCTATGTGTCACTTATTGTTTTTTGGATCAGTGGGCTTCACAGGCTTTAGTGTGAAGTTACTTGAAACAGGTTGAGGGTTTTTATATTCTGTGGTTGCCTTAAGGTGAGCCCCTGCAGAGCTAGTGACCTCTGAGATTATTGAGAGGTCTGTGTCAGACGTGGTAGCACTGCTGCATCTGAAGTGCTCTTTTGAGTGGAAAAAAATAAGGGAGGAGGTGTGCTTCAGTTGTAAATGACATTGTACCTGTGGTGATTATCTTGAAGGAAGATGAGCTGCCAGTGAATCAGATAATAGAGGGTGCGCTCCAAGTAGGGCTTTGATGGACTGCTGTTAGATTTCATTATCCCAGCACTGCAGCAGCAATCAGATTTGGTAACCCAACACGGTAACCATTTTGCCTAATGTACTGTGAAGCTTGTCTTGTTTGCCCTTCCGTTTTCCAAAGATACAACTAGTTTGCTTCTATCCTGAAATTACTGATAGGTACTGTATAAAGAAGTCTAATGTGATTCTAGCTTAATTGTAATAATAATTTGACACTTTCTCCTTTCATTTGTGTCTCAGGTGGGCTGGTTCCCCTCGACCTATGTTGAAGAGGAGGAGGAATGACGGAAAGGGTAAACAGCGATTGCAAGCAACGCACCGCTGTGGGGCACCGTGAAATGTGTACTGCTGCCACTCCATTGTAGGCTTGGAAAAGAAAAACGCACACAGCACTGCTGTCTATCCAAAAAAACCTTGCCTATAAAATGTTGGGAATTCTCCACAAGCTTGTGTTGACAGATTAATGGCTTGCCTGCAGCTTTACAAGTAAAAGCCTGCCAGTCTGCTGTCAATAGGGACCAGCTCAGAGCCAGAACCTCTCCCTCCCAGAAGAACTTCACAAATATAGACAGCTTTATTCTTCTTGTCATTCTTCCTACCAGCACGCAGTGTCAGCTCGGCTGCTGGTAAATATTTAAATACATTTCCACCCCCAGCTAAGACTCTCCTTGATGAGTTGGAAAAGTCCTGAGCTGTTTTATTTTACCTCAGATACTTTTTCTTCCTGACCTTCCTCGCGTCCTACTTACCTGTGTTATTATTGATGACTTCATCTGCTGTCTTCACTCTCAAAGAGACAGCATAAAGACTGTATGATCTCCATTACGTAACCCCTTTGTGCACGGCTCGCCATCACTACCCTAGACTCGTCAGTACAAATTGCGATACAGTTTGCATGAAAAAAGAAGATCACTTGCACAAGAATAATTGATTTTTTTTTTGTTCGAAGAAAAAAGTTTTTTTTGGAAGAAGCTTTATCTCAAAAAACATACTGTTGTTATTCTGTGTTTATCTGATGTTCGGATTACTGAAATTTTAGGAAATTTGGTTTGATTGAACTACAGAACAAGCTGTTGACAAGAAAACAAAAGGAATCATTTCTACGTGCAGGCAGACCTTTTATATGCAGTGCCCCTGGCCTTGAAATAATTGTAGATTTCCATTCAGCAGGCATCCAAATGAATAATATGGGGATTGTAATGGGCCATGCTCTCATGACCCTATAATAAGTGGGATTAAAAAATGTAAATCCTGTTTCATCATAGTGGTCACTGAATAATTGGTTTAAACAGAGGAATTACGTATTTCACTAAGATTCCAAGTGTCTCTTGCCCTGCTGCACCAAGTGCAGTATCCGTTATGGGACCATCAGTAAAATAGTGTCTCTCCCTAAAGAAATACTTTAGGATTGGAAAATGACCAGACTTCGTAAATCTGGTTTTATCAGTGCCCGCTCATATCAGCTCAGCCTCTCAGCCCCACAAACCTACAGACCTCAGAAATTTAACATTTTAATTTGGGACAGCACACGCTTTTAAGTGAGGTGGTGTGGTCTTCTTTCATATTACAATAATAAAAACAATAACTATAGTTGAAATTTCTGTTTGATGACAGTTCTAGAGCCTTGGTAAGAGCCATTCTATACAAAATAAAAAGTAGCTTCATTAAGTATTCTTACAACTAGGGAATATGTTCGTAATTACTGGAGCCATCACAACCAGGAGTAGGACAGAAAGCCATGACACTCTAATTGCTTTTTTATTTAAATCTTAAAAGTATGTCTGAAAGAGTTTTTTGGTTTATTTTGTGACTAATAACAACGTGTAAAGTATTCCTAGATTTGCTACAATAATGTCAGAACAGATCTTGTACAGAAAAACATACATGCACAGCCAAACACATATACAAAATGGTTTTCAATTGTAAATGGTATTTAAAAATATGTAAAGTATATTGTTAAATAGATCTTTCTGCACTTCCTTCAAGCAAGTAACAGCAGTTGTTTCAATCAGCTAACACAAATAAACTATGCAGAAATTAACGGTAATCACTGTCAGAAATATGTCAAAGTAATAGCAGTGGAGATGTCTTCCATCTTGTTTTATAAACCATCAGAAGCAATCAACTTTCCAGGGCAAATAGTGCAGTAAACAAAGATATATTGATCAACTTTAATTATGCATGACTTAGAAAAATGTTATAATTCTCCACAATATTATTTTCTCCCCAATAATGAAGTATTCATTTTTTTTCTCGGTAGCTGTTCAGGGAATTAAATAGCTACGAGTATTGATGGCCAAAGTGCTGGCACAAAGTATATGGACAGGGGGCAGTTTTTGCTTGTACATAGGTGGCTAAAATTTGAAAACCAAGATACCACTTCAGCATTGTTAAGTATTGTTGCTTTTATATTACAGCCACAGGGTTCAGAAATTAACACAAGCAAAGCAATTAAGGGGCAACAGAAATCCTTAGTGCTGAATCGTAAATGTTTGTCCCAACATATTACAAGGCCATGTGAGTTTTAACAAAGGCCAGACGGCTCTAAAGACCATCCTTGCACTAATCATTTTGATTACATTAGGACATTAGGTAGCTAGCAGGGCGATGCTGTATCTGACTATCATACTTTGTATTGTAATGTACATTATGCTTAGAGAACATGTTAATGAACACACCTACTTCATCATTGTGCTGACGTGGTTTGTGGAGGTATTGTCAGATGTTTCACACTTTTTGTAACTCTTAGTTATTATGGCTAAAGTTCCAGTCATGCATGTGACATTAGACCTTCATCACCCACAAAAGGATTTGGTGCATTATTACAGCTGAAATATATACAGTATATACACATAAAATGGTTCACATATGCTGTGAATATCCCATGGTTTGTTGCAGTATGCTTTCAGGGAAATTACTTAATTGAACTGTCAGATAAAATGTGTATGAGAATCTGTAGTACTTGATGTAACCTATTGTGAACAGTGTATATTGTAAATACTTGAATGTTTCATTTTAATTATTATTGTCGTTCTTTTTGTGAAATGTTTAAAAAGTGTTATGAGTTGGTTCTCCATAAGCCAACTCTTGTACCTTTACTGCACTAAGTATTATCAGCCATTTTTGTGGCACTTATATGTTACTTTTATATGAATGGTTTAAAATGAAGTTTTTTTTACTTTGGGAGAATTTTTTTTTACATCTTTTAAAAAGACACAATTGTCCTTATCACCGAAGTGAATCCAGATTACATTTACTTTTTAAAGTTTTATTGCAACGTACTGGCCACTAGATGTCATCATTAAAATAAAAACTTCAACCGTGTGACATCATTTAGGTTCTATAAACTCAGAAATCCCCCCCCCCACCTCCTTTAATTTGACGAGAAATTATTTACATGGTCTAATTTGAAAATTATCTGTTCTGGTGATTTTTGAATACCCTAATTATATGCCCATCTGTTACTATGCATTTTGAAATACTATGAACGGCCTTATGTGTATCTTACAGTACAAGGCTGATCTTTAAGTACTGTCAGTAAAATACTGATATAGGCACTACATTGTACTTAGGTACTATAGATTGCTTTTTCTCTAGGCTTTTCAACATTCATCACATTAGAGGTGTCCCTCATTAATGCACTGCTCATGTAAAATTAATGGGAGGGCAATCAAGTTTTTCCAGGTCACCAATCAAATGATGTTTTTAGTTATTCAACAGATTAGATAAGCAGCTTTAGCCTTTTACTTAAATCTGGAGGTGGTCCACATGGAGAAAGAGATTAACTGCGATGGTTAGCACACTGCTGTTTAAAGTGAAAAAGGAGGCACAAGAATTGGTTTTCTAAGCTTTCATTCTAGTAATCAGTTTTCACTTCTTTATACAGCGGATGAGCTCTGGCAACATGGATTTAGCAATTGCTATATAGAATGTCCCTCTTACTAGTGCAATAGCAGTCATTTTATAATCTGTGAACGCTAAAACGCCTCACCCACTATAAATCTTCATTTGACAAAAACAAGGATTACAAGGTATCATCCTAACTGTGGGGGACTACAAAAACTACATCACATCTATCCTAATTGTTAATGTATTAATTTCATATTATAATTATAATTCTCAGAAGAAGAAATTGAACAATGCACACAAACCTTAAATCACCAGAAGATGAAAGATATATTTAGAAAAACAAAGGGGAGATTGAAAATCCTAACTGGACCAGCAAGTACTCTTTCAGAAACATTTGCTGTGATATACAGTATTTTCCATAAAATCACCAATAAGAGAATTCCACTCTGAAGCCAAAGATATTTGTATGCTTGACATGAGAGCTGTAAACCTTGTGATTCTACCACTGTGGCCTAATAATTAATAGTGTAATCTGAAATTGTTTTACCACATGCTATTGTACAATTTTGTAAATATGTGTATAACACACAATAAACTGTATATTACCCTTTTCTTTATTGAATATTTTCACTTTTAGTTTTTGGGCACAATTGAAGACTTCAGTCACTTTTTTATCAGTGCAATTATGTTAGCAGTTAGTTTGATTATGGCTTGCAGAAGGAACTAAGCATTTTGTGAATGAAAAACATTTTAAAACTGTATATATATAGAGAGAGATGTAAATGTGATTAAAACAACCTACTAAAGATTAACTGGATGTTAGTAGCAAAATAATTAGTACACTTGTGTCAGCCCAGGAAAGTATCTGGACTGATATCCAGATCTTTTTTGTAACATTGTAACCAAAATTGTACACTAGTGTCAGGAACAGTTCTTTCCGGGCCCTATGCGGACGACACGATCCGAAAGGTGAAGAAACAATAGGGAAAAATATCATGCAGGAGTCGGTCAGGAGACAGGGGGGCGTGTCCATGCAGTGCTAGTGTCCGGGGGGAGTGAATCCAGGGCGAACAATCCAAGGGTAAATCCAGAGGGGGAATCCAAGACGGGAGGTCCATCCGTAGTTAAAACCAGAACCGGGTCGGGACCGGCGGGGCAGGGAATCAGGACCAGGAAACTAAAACCATAACGGAGCCAGACGCGGCAGGACCCCGGGCTCTCACGACACGGAAATCAATGAGAAGCCCCGAGCAATCGCCTGCGTCTGGCTTTAAAGGTGGAACTAAAGAGGGGCTGGAATAAGGAACAGGTGTGGGGAATGGGACAGAACGAGGAAGGGCTGGAGCGCCCTTAAGAGGAGGAGTAACGATCGTGACAACTAGCCCTTGCTAGTGCACTGTACAATTTTACCATCATGTACCTTGATTTAAATTCTAAGGCTTTACTATTCTATGACGTTTGCCAGGTCTTGTATTCTATGTAAATCTTTTTTGAATATCCTTAGCAGCTTCTAAAGTGTTTGCTAATCTTGTTATTTAGTATTGATGTGTGAACTTGACATTTGGAATTATCATCAATTACATTTGGAAGTGGTCCTTGTACAGATCCAGGTGGTACTTTACTAATTACATCCTCCCAATCATAGTATTCACCGATATATGTACTGTGCTTTTAATCCATTAACCAGTTCTCAGTTCAGACACATGCAGTCTCTTGAACTGCCTGCACTTAATCTGTTATGAGCAACTTTATAAAACATCTTATGAAAATCTAAATATACAACATTGTGTGTGCTATGTGTATCAGTTACTGTTGTTGCTTGTTCAGCATCTCTCCCTTCTAAATTATTATCTACTGTACATGCAATTCAGGTAAGACCTATTGGACTTTATTTGTTTCAGTCTTGTCACTCTTTGTCTAGATGAGCACTACATTAGCAATTTCCCAGGCCATGGTTACTGCCTTTGTCTTGAGCAACAGCTGCAAGAGTTGAGTAAAATGGAATCTTATTTCCATTAGCATGTCCAGATTTTTGTTATAGTACTACTACTCTTAAAAAAATTGGAGGGTGGAAAGGCAGCAAACAGATGGCATCATAGGAATGGTGATTCGTAACCCAATCCTTATGTGTTAGAAAATACATCAGAAATCACTGAAGGACAGAAGAAGGTCACATTTTAAAGTGGGGTTATTTTGAAGTAAAAAAACAAAAGCATCTATAATCAACTGCCCGTGTGTTAGCATACCAAAACTAGTGATGGGTAAAATAAAACAGTTTCGCAAAATATAAAAAAGGAAGAAAAACCAGCACGTTTGTCAAAGTTGAATGACATAGCTTGTTGAGCCTGTGAAACCTATGGAGCAGCTCAGTCTTCAGCGATCTGATATAATAATGGGTATCGTTTCTGAGAGTGACAGAAATGGAGGAGAGTACTGCAGTAAAATAAGCCAAAATGTGAAGTGTTGTTTGGTAACAAACCTTTCATAGTGCTGTCAAAAGCACCACAAGTTTCCTGTTGTGTTTGATTCAGTACAGTAAACAGTGTTTTTCTTTGCTCCCATTTTTTATCACTGACATTGTTATATTGGCAAGCAAAATCCTCACCATTTCTGCCAGAATCTCGTAATCCCTGTTGCGGGTTTGTTTAATACTGTTGTTGGCCATCAGGGAAACATCATTTCATGCTCTACTGCTATTGTGCAGCTAGCCTTTTTTTCCCCTTTTTTCTTGCATTGCACTACCATTGACAAGAGAAATATAATGTATTTTATTGTATCCAATATAAATAGAAAAACTTTTATCTAGTATAATAGCGGGTACTTTAGCTACTACAATACCCACATTTTTACATGCACACATTGCATGAGGTGACATTGTTTTTTACTCAAGACTTCTGTATGTTGTGGTTCACTAGACATAACGTGGATAATAAAGGTACTGACACAATTGCATGTGGTATGTAGCTAAATAACAGCCTAGAATGATTGAGTCTAACATGCTGGATTAGCATATCATTAGCTACTGTATGTCTCAGGAGGTTCTAGAGATAAAGGATAGCTAATGTAACTATGCAGTTCATCATGAAAAACTGTATAACATATATAAGGAAAATAAATTTAAGCGAGAATTGGTAAGGAAGAGACCAGGAGAGAGGATACATGAATGAGTGAGACAAAACCTTTAGCACCTGACTCCTCCTTGGTGAGCAAAAACCACTGAGGTACATGTCACGATTGTCATCCCTCCCCTTAAAGGCACTCCGACCCTTTCCTATTTTAGTTCATTATGTGCAACCGTCCCTTGTTTTCCTTGTTATTATTTAAAGCCTGGCGCTCCCTGCTGTTCCCGGCTCTGCATTGGAAGATTGACAACCAGAAGCCCGCCTACTAGCGGGTCCTGGAGAGACCCGACTGCATAGGCTTCATCACGGCATCATGACTATCTGAGTCTGGAGCTCAATGTGCCTGGCCTCGTTACTGTTTTTATCCTCCTGGTTCCCTGTCCATGTTCCTGTTCAGGATCCCGTTCTGGTTTTAATCTTGTCTGTCTCAGATTGGATTTCCCAGCTTCTGGACCCTGGACTGCGCCCCAGTTTACCCTTTGGACTACCTCAGGACTTGTTCGCCTACTCCATGGCCCCTGAGCACCAGATCACAGCTGTCACACCCCCCTGTCTGTCATCCCGTCCTGCTCCTGTTGTGTTTCCCTTGAAGTCTTATTCCAGTCACTTCCGGATTATATCATCTGCATAGGGTCCAAAATACGCACTAATCGGGAGGCAGGACCAGCTCCCGTGACAGTACAGAGCATTCAAGAGAAAAGAGATGTACTTTTCTGGGGAACTATTTATTCCTTCCTTTTGCAAATCTAGCAGGTAGTTTGTTACTCTTTTATTTGAAAATTGCTAATTTCCTAGGAACCTAAGATTATTTTTGGTTTGTATTAATTCTACTAGGAATAACAACACCCAAGAATTAAGTGTGCAAAAAGGATTATGGAGTGAACATTTGGCTTAACCTGCTTGGCTGTGGGCTTACCTCCTTGCCATAGGACAACAAGATTGGGACCCCCATGCAGGCTAAGAAGTGACCAAGGGGCAGCTGCAAAAGTGGAAATAGGGTGATAGACCTCCGACCATCTAGGTCTCCATTATACAACACACAGATGTAACTTCGATTCTGAGCGAGTTAATAGAAATGGGAGCAGTATGGTAGTTTTTAGTCATGATCTGGCAAGTATGTAGCTGTCATTAGAAAGTTGTCAAGCACTTGTATTTTATCGACTTTTACTGACATAGAGAACCTTTTCAGGATCCACTCTGCTGTGAGCTGGAACAATGACTTGTCAACACACTGCACTGCACATGAGGCCCAAGAACTCTAGAGCTATGACATTGACAATGCTGTTCTGATAAAAACTGAATGAGCTGAAGGACAACAGGGAGTACAGTGATAGCTATGCATTCTTCTGGAAGGAAAAATCAGAAGAACATTCAATTAATTGGATTAACGATCAAGTGATGAGTGCCCTGTTGGAATCAATGAGTGCCTCATGATTCTTTGTCCAAATTGGTAGGTGTCTACTGTATAATGTCTATATGATTTCTACATTGGATCCTACTCTAGATTCAAGCAATTAAACCAAATCCCTTGCAGAATTCTAATGGTGAACAGAATGTACTCAGAGACTTTAATTCACTTTATATTTGACAAGACAAAAGTCATGCTTCTTGGCATACCCTATCAATAATGTAAAGCCAATGCAGTTACCCTATCTGTGGATGGCACTGTAGTTGAAATTCAATCTAAATTGAAGAACTTAGGAAAATATTTGATCCCAAGGCTTGATGTGTCCCACATGTGCAAAATACCGTCATTCTTCCATCTCAAAAATATCTCCCGACTACATTCTGTGTTACTTCTGACTGCAGCTGAAAAGCTGGTCCACACTTTTGTCTTGGAAATAACTGATAATTGCAACGTCCTATTTGCTGCAGTATCTAAAACCACACTAAACAAACTTCAGTATGTTTAGAATTCGCCTGCCAGAATCCAGACCAGGTTGCACGCAAGTGATCACATTACTTTGCGTTGCCTTTTTTATCAGGTTTTGTGTTGCCTTCAAAATCCTTTGCTCAACTGTAAGTGTCCACATGTTGTGGTACCTCAATACTTATCTGACTTACTATCTTCCTACTCCCCATCTTGCAACCTGCTTTCGACTAGCTCTGGTCTCCTGTTAATCCCCAATCTCGTCTCCATACTGTCAGTTGCAGGGCCTTCTCTTGTTATACCCCAAAGCTCTGGAATTCTATCCCCAAGAAGATCAAGAGTCACCTTGCCTAAGTGCCTTCAAATGCAGATGCAAAATCTTCTTCAGAAAGGCTTTTACTTAAGTGGTTCTTTGTCTGCCCTTTGCACATCCTTTTGTATTCTGAACATTTCTTTTAATTGTGCTGTGTTACCCCTTCTTGTTAACGGTATTCTAACCATAAACTGCTTTGGTACATCACTTTTAAAGGTGCTATATAAAATAAAGTAGTTGGAAGATACAAATTCTTTGGATTGGAACCATAGGCAAGGAAAGAGTTAGAATTGAGGATGTCAACAA